GCCTGTACACAGAGGGGTCAGAGTGCAATGTGGTAGGTGCTCTCCTATTCCCATTCTTATCTAAGGGGGCGTTTTAATAGATTCTTCTTATACTTTCTGTGAAATGATTTGTGAATTGCTGTGCAATCAACCAGCAATGGTGTCTCTGCTGGGTCAATAGGATTGAAGGTAGATGCCTGAAGCGAGTGAAAGCCATGTTTTGACAACCCTTTCACAGAGGGTGTCTCATCTTCGGTACACATTCTGAATTATAGTTCGTTGATTTCTCAGTGTTGCACAAGTTATTTTTTTCTAACAAGACTGAACAATAAGATGAAGGGCGGATGTCTTAAATCACTGCAATAACTTCCTTGATCACCCACTGACTGACTCAATGGGATGGGGTTTTCTAAACCACTTGTCAGTCTCGCAGACCTGGACTGTTTAAACAACTGTTTAGCAGACTTGAACAAAAGCTCTTAAGAAATGCAGACATCTTCTCGACTTTCTCAGCCCTCTCTGCTGTTTTGCTATTGCTTCTCACTACATCATAGCTACAAACCTGCCAACATCCGCTGACAAAAAAGCAGACATGTATTTGCATATGTTTGCATAAATTTGCATGTATCTGGGCATAGGCCAGCAAAAGCATGTGCTTTCTTACTTTGAAGGGATGTTATAACAAGCCTTAAATTGAGTGATAACTGCATTGGTGAGTTAGTACCATGTGTCAAGACAAAATGGTCAATAAAATATCAATTTCTTGAACTTGCTAGCAGCAAAACTGTAAAACCGTGATCAGCATGTGGCATGGGATGCACTAGGGAAAATGTAAAAAGATTTTTGCCATCTAGAAATGTCTATGAGAAGTCCTTTTGCAGCAAGTGAAAAAAATACATGAGCTGTTTTCTAGAGTGGCTTCATCTCTTTATTGTTTCATCTGCCTGCTGTTGGATGTTTAATACAGAGCAATGCCGTCAGTGACTTGCAGTCTGTAAACATCACCATCTCCAGCATATCAGGGAAAATATTGATCTGGGGAACAATGGATGTGGCTTCATTCAGAGCATCACCCTGGTAGCCTGCGTTACTCAGAGTTGATAGATGAGATTTGCAGATGGCAGATCCCGTGACTGACCCAGGAAGGATGCGTTCTCTCTACAGGCACATCTGTGTTCAGCTTCCCAAAGCTCGTACATCAGAGGCCTGCTCTGAAGCCAGCCACAATCAAGAAGCTGTTCGTATTGTCTTTGGACGGGATCCACGAGGCAGTTGGAGGCTGCTGCATGTAAAGCACCTTTCCCTGTCAAGCCAGCCAGTTCCTGGCCTGTGTATCAAGAAAAATTCTTTTAAGGCTCAAAGGTGGCCTGAGTGTTAAGTCTTCTGTGCTGGGGTGCATTTCATTGATTTGGGCAGTATCTTAGTTCACAGTTAACCCCTCGATTTTTTTATTACTATTTCAGGGGAAATGTACCTTTTATAACCTTAGCGGTACTGGCAGTGTGTGATACCCCTTTATTTGCACAGTTTATCTCTTCCTACCTGTGGCTTTGGATAAGTTGCTAATAACAAAGGCTTGTTATCACCAAACAAATGTTCTGAAGTGGCACCATAGAAAAGTCGCCAGTCGGTTGGCAAGGAAAACCTTTTGATCAAATACTCTGTGCAACTGGTAAATAACTTGAAAATAAAAACCTTTTATTTTCTCTATAACTGTGGGTTACTTCTGGAGTTATTCATGGCTTTTGTAAGAAAGGGGTGATCCTCGGTTTTGTGTAAACATGTGTTTATATAGCCTGGCAGGGACTGATGAAATGCCAGTGTTTCAGTAGTGCTGTGCCAGCTCCGTTGGGGATATGACCCAAGCTACTTTCCTTCAACCTCCCGCCTTTTTTTTTTTTTTTTTTTTTTTTTTTTTTGCTGAGGGGGCGTGGGGGTAGTAAAGGGGGAGAAGAATAATGCACAATCAAACTTTGAATAGTCCTCCTCTGTTGTTTTTTGTCCTTTCTTGTGTCCACAAGACATCATTGTGTCAACAGTCAGCAAGCTTCTACTTGCACTGCATGCGTCACCTGGAGCTATTGGTGTGGAGTTGGGGAATGGTGTCTAAAACATGTTTGCAGTCCCTAGCATGGGGGATTGCAAAACAACTGGAGAAAGAGCTGCAGAGAAATAGGAAGAGGCTGCAAGGGATGGAGGGCAGTGCTACTTACTTAATGGAAGCTGTTAGAGTCCAGACCCCAGTGCATAGAAATGTTTTGCTGGAAATATCCTTGTCCCAGCAAAACAGTTGGCAATTTCAGAGCTGCTGGTCCCCAGCGGCATGAGGCCAATAGCTGTTAAATATCTGCAGTCTTTAAGAACACTGCATGATCCCATCTCAGGGCCTCAGCCACCTGGAAGTGTGGAAGCTCAGTGATGAGACCAGCCCACAGCCTCAAGAGACAACTTCCCCCACTGGAGGGGTGCTCTTTTGGCCTGAGGCAACATCCAAGGAGCAGAAATAAGAATGTGATGTAGGGTGGTCTGTAGTGCTCACTGCCCTTCCTAAGTGGTTACGCCTAAACAGCAGCCATAGGTTCAATAATGGGCACAACCTCTCCACTGCACGCCACAGTGTGCACAGAGCAGTCCTCTTTGGAGACACAGCATAGCCACTGACAGCTGTACAGACCTGTGCCACAAGATACTGATAAATGTGCAGTCTGCTGATAATGTATGAGATTTATATATCCGCCTGATAGGGAGGTGAGAGAGATGTTGTTAGACTGTAATACTTTACTCAACTTCCGTGCTGGCACAGTTGTGTAGATTGGGATATTATTTATCTTGCTGTAAAATGTGTTAATATGAGCGCTCTCCTTGTTGAATGCTTACTTATTATTTTCACATGCTCTTTCCTTCGCTGTATAAGAACACCTCTTCTCGGCTCTGTTAAGCTCAGGCCAACATTGCCAACCCACGGGGAGGATGTGCCCACCCAATTTCCACTAGAAGCCTCAAATATCTTGCCTCAACCTTATCTTCTTGTGGCTCTTTCATATTGGTGATAAAGGGCTTTGACACGTGGCTGAAGGTGTGCCCACTCCTCAAGCAGCAGGCAGAAGCAGCCAGCACTAAGCAAGCTGTGGAGCAGACTGGGGCAGTAGAAGTGTAAACCTCCAGTGAGATAATGCTGAGGGGCTGAAGCACTACCAAAATGGCAATAGAGTGTCTCTGCACAGGGGTAATCACAGCCTGAACTGCAGCAAAGACACAGCTGTTAACTCCTATTTATAAGCTTTCTATGACTGAATGTGTTTATCACTTGGGACAACTCTGAGATTAATCAGGTAACAACAGGGGAGAGAGGAAGATATTGTTTAAAGTTCTCAAAGTATTTTAAAGCAAGTTTTGGAAAAAAAAAAAAAAAAGCTGCTGCCTTACATAAAGTAAAGGCACTGGATGTTGGAAAGGTACAGTTATCTCTGTGTAATCTCCTTGTCTAGCATGACAAAAATGAAACGTCCTGTCCAGGGACCTGGACTGGACATGGAAAAAAATGCCCTTTTTTATCTCATATAAAACTTAAAGTGAAGAGAACCCTGGAAGCTGCATGGGAGGTAACAGCTCTGTTTTCTGATGAAGGTGGGCTTAGAAGTTTGAAATAACTGGCATTATATAAATATTTTTTAAAGTGTGATTAAAAAACCCTACAACTTTACTCTTAGTTTATTGTAGATTTCACAGGGTGAGGAAATACTGGTTGATTTTTTTGGTAGAATGAAGGAAACCTCCCTGTTTGCCAGCCAGATATGTCTGTCTTGCATCCTCGCCCATATGGGTAATTTGAGCTCTGGTGAGAGGAAAGCTTTTCAGTTAACTGTAGAAGTGTCTGGAGAAGAAGGTGAGCATACTGCTAATTAAATTATGTATGTCTTCACAGGCGTAGTTAGTTTTTTCATTTGTAATGGGTTTAATATGGAGAGATACTTCTTCCTTTCTGGTCTGGGTGCTCAGCTGAGAAACTGGGGGCTTGGCAGTCTGCCTCACCAAGGGGTATTAAAAGGAGGTGAGACACAGTCTGAGAAAGGTCTGGATTTGTGCAAGAAACAGGGAATCCTCCGGTATGATAACTTTCCCATTATCTACTTTAAAAAATAGTCACTTATCTCCTGTTCAGTTGATTATGCTGAAAGGCGGAGAAAACCTAAAATCAACAGACCAAACTATACAAAGGGCTGCTGAACTACAGCAGCCTCTCACTGGAACTCTACCCTCATGGGGAAGCTGGTGTTGAGCAGCAGCCAAAGAAGTTTGGTACTGGATTCAACCTCGGTGCAGGCCTGAGGGGCCTTTCTGGCACACGACCCAGGGGCTAAGCCCTGAGCTGGCATGGAAAACGGCGGTTTTCCTTTTCTGCAAGAACCACTAGAGAATATCATCACAGCAGCCTGAGCAGAAGCGGTGGCTAAGAAGGTGCAGATCCATCTCAGAGCAGGGTGCTGCACAGCTTTCTCTCTGGATAGTGTGCTGGGTGCTGAGATACGTAAAGACTTTTTATCTGCTGGAAAAGGTAAGCAAGACCTTTCATATTGCTGAGTAATGGCTCCTTGTGTAGGTTGCTGAGAGTCTGTCTTCCTCACCTTTGTGAGAACAGGGCCGGGATCCTGGATCATTAGCAGAGGAGAAGAGCACTGACATCTAGCACATGAGGAATTAACAGGCTTCAGCATACGTACCAAATTATTTATTTGTATCAAAAAGAGCTGGCTTAATGACATGTTGTTTGGTAAGGCAGCTTAGGATTTCTTTAAAAAAAAAAACAGAAACAAACAGGAAAAAAAACCACACCCAAACCACCATAACAACAACAAAATACCCCTGACCATACAAGACAGAGGACTAATGTAGTGATATCATGTAGAAAACGTGTAAGTAGTGAAGAATAAACTGGACTGTGTTAGGCAGTGCAACTTTGCATAGTTCATGGGCAATTAATCTAATTTGGATACAGTGGATGTGTAAAACCACAGTCCCCATTAGCTATAGCAGACGTCGCAGTTCCTATCCCTTCTGAAGAAGTCGTCAGCCATGGCCATGGGTGGTAAGTAGTCCAGGCAGTCTGTGCTGGGGCAGGGGAAGTACTGCGGGACCCTGTTGTCCACATGCTGGGAGCCACAGGCGGTGCAGTAGCAGGCAGTGGCGGTGTATGGGGAAGGGGTATGGCAGGACCACTCCTCCGCAGGGTAGTCATAGGTCTTGGTGTCCAGAGCAGAGGGTGGGCTGTGGGTCAGCGGGGTGAAAGGGGATAGTTGAGAAGGAGAGCAGCTATAGTTTAATGGGCTGGATAGATCAGCTGAATTGGGGGATCCGGGAGCCTAGAGTTTGAGAGAATGAAGAAAAAAAAAAAACCAACACAAGACATTTCAGGGTGACATTTGGGGAAATGAAGACAGCAGCCAGAATTTCCACACCATTGCCTTTCTCAGGAGGGTCTAGCTACCCGGGGAGATGGTTTAGCCCTTGGAGGCTTAAACCCAGGAGGCAGTTCCCGTGACATTGCTGTTAATAGGGAGCTTCTCTGCGAGTTAGATAGCTGCTAGCAGGAACTGGGCCATTCTTTGTGGGAAATCTACAGGATCTATAGAAGGGACATTCCCTATTCTGCAGCTTCTCTCTAGGTTTGGTTGGGCCTCCCTATACTCTGCTCCCAACGGGAAACCATGCAGAAGTCCACACAAGCAGCCTGCATTGCTGTGGCTGTACCCCATGTCCCTAAAAGCAGCCACGTTTCCAAATCAGCTTGCTGCTGTTCTGCCCCAGGATGTGACTCCCTTCTCCATTTTCCCTCTGAGTGCGCCTGTGGCTGTTCCCCTGGGACACAAAGCTTACCAAGCCCTGGTTAAAGCAGAGTGGGACTGGCTGGAAGGCGTCTGAGGTGTAGTGCGAGGGTGGCTGGAAAGCACCGAAGGCTGGGTCTAAGGGTGCATCTGTCTGAAGACAGGAATCTACCAGCTGCTCCAAATAGCTAGGGCTTTCTTCGCAGGAGACACAATTCGAAAACTGCCATGATGGACAATAGTTGGGAACAGAAGAGATGGGTTCTGCATCAAAAGGTGCTAGGAGAGAAGGCAAACAAGATAGTAGCAGATTATTCAGTATCTGTCTTCACAAAGGGCAGGTGTTGTCCTAGGTCAGGTTTCAGTACTCTTATATGTTCAGTAGCCCTATGGATTTAGACAAGGATAAATCTCCTTCAAGTTCAGGGTGAGTTTTCTAGGGAAGCAGACACTAGGAGGAAGATGCTTAAAAGCATGCAAATAATGTGGGAATTTTCGTCCCCTTGAAAAGCTCCAAAGCTCTTTAAATACTGCTGGAAACATTTCTGGCTCCAGCTATTTTGGACAGGGATCCAGCTAGAAACTTCCTCAGACTCTTGACCCTCTGGCCTCCCTTCAGATGTCAACTGTTTACAGACCCAGAAGCTTGCCATGCAGTGATTTACACTTCACAGCGTGGCAGATGGCTTCCGCCTTTGCCTCACCCAGTCTCCAGATGCAGGGTATCTACATCTGCAGGAAGAAGGGGATAACAGAAAAATAATTTGCTCTTTTATCCTCCAGACAGGAGGCAAACTTCTGAGCAGACAAAATGGAGCAAGTAAGTGATAACACAGCATTCCGTCCACGTAGTGTTACTGGCAAAAGCGTGAGTTCCTAGAAAGCTGTAGGGTCAGACTCCCACTGTACTGCAACATGCTTACTGGGGCTATGAAAGCTCACAGCAGATCTGACTTTGCAGAATTATTATTCTTCCATGCAGTGTTCAAACACGGTTAAAAGCAGAGCCATGTCCACATGGAGGGGCACGGGTCAGAAGGCAATGGAACTGCATGTGGGTAGAGTCACTCAGAGTCATAATTGTTTGCAGGTTCAAGGTGGCAGTGTTTAGCTGGATGTGGGGAGGAAGCAAGAAGCATAATACATAATCAGATGGAGACTTTCCAGCCTGAAAAAGCCTTGGTATGTCTCACGTTTCTGTATTAACATAAGCAAATTGATTCCTAAATATTGATGACTTAATAATTTCCCTGTCCATACAATGTACATATTCACACCTCCCCAACCTTTTAGGTGTCTCTGCTTTGGCTGCAGAATAATTGAAGGATCTGTAAGCCCAAAGTCCTACTCCCCCCACCCAGAAGGTGGCCCTTTCCTTGGATATTCACAGGCAGGAGGAAGAAACTCTTTGTGTTGCTGAAAACCTGACACTCTCCTCGGTCCTATGGATGCTGCCAGGAGAGCGAGAACAGCCAATTCTGCTGGAGCTCAGCAAAGTGCTCCAGGGCGATCTGACCCTCTAGCTCCAATGGGACCCACAGACTGCAGCCTGGAGAAGGTGATGCCAGCAGTGTTATTCCCTAGGGGCTGAGCATCCCTTCCTGAGGGGATCTTGCTCCTTGCTGTGGGAAGAATAAAGTGCACAAATGAGAGAGTGTGAGCGTGCTCCTAACAGGCTTATAAGTACCCTGCTGGCCTCACGGCATCCTCATCTGCATTTCATGGGCTCCTTTCAGGTGCTGATTGGTTGCGTTGCTGGTTATCTGGTAGTGCCTGCCTCAGCCAAGGGCTGGAAAGACTCCGGGCTGTGGGAAAAATTGGGAAGGGGGTGGGAAGGGACATGGATGGGGCTTTGTACCAACCTGGGTGAGGAGGAGATACAGACTCTGAAAACTGGATGCTGCTGCTGCTCCAAGAAACCTGATCAAAGAGAAGGGAAGAAAAGGAATTGTATACACTGTAACACAGAGGAGCATTTTTCTGCATGCTGAGGTAAGTCAGGATTTCATTTCAGCCTATTTATGTAAATCCTATTTACCTCATGGCTGTGACATGGAAAACTTCCCTAACATCGACCAAACAAGATTAACGTGCATAACGTGATTTTTCCCTGAGCCTGTAACGGCACTGGAGAAGCACAACACCAACCTGGTGTACAGCCCTTGATACAGCACCTTCCTAGTGTGCTTTTCCTACTGCATTATTACTGTTAATTCAGCAGAGATGTGGCTGCCTTTGAAACTAACATATGTTAATTTCTAGGCCATGAATTCCGCAGTGGGGGGATCCCACTCATTGAGAATGAGTAACTAATACATTGTAGCGATAACTCTTGAAACATGACTAACATAATTGCAGGTACCCCATGGCTGGGCATCAGACTGGGTTGCCGTGCTTGGTGTTGCTGTCATTTGGAAACCGGCTCTGACATCGTTCCCCACTCTAACACAGCTATGTGCCTCTATGAAAACGGACAGTCTCATTTTCTGAGGGATGCTGGAAGCTGGAGCGGACAGACCTGTTCTAGGAGCCTGACCTGCCGGAGGGGAGAAATCCACCCCAAAAGCAATGGGAGTTTTGATGCTCGTTGTTTAAGACCAGGATTTTACTCTGCAAATACAAATACTGTTCTTTTTCCTCAGTTTTAATTGATACAGACTTCCGCTTCATTTCCTTTATTCAAAATGCTCTTGAGTTAGTGGATCATTTCCCTAGCAACAACTTCCTACCACATCCTCGTGCATTTACTCCGTTAAATAGTGGCTATTCTGAGCTGAAAGAGCCTGTAGGACTACCCCTCTTTTCTTTGCCTGCAGATGTGCAACAAGGCATACAGAGCTGTACCGCCAGCAGCAGAATTGTTCAGGTTTGGCTTTTTTCAGTGCACAGAGGCAGCTTATCCTGCCAGCCCTAACCTCTGGGGCCTCTCCAGGACAACACGTACTTTTTGCATATCACAAAGGTAACCTCCTGCACTGCCACTTTTTACTTTTTTCCTGTGTGGGCAAAACAAGCACCGTGTAAACTTGCCGTGGGAAGCGAAAACTAGTTCCACGCAGCCCTGTGACACCTGGCTGCGAGGAAGAGGCTGCTTCGGTTAGGGCTGGAGGGGAGGAGTGACCCAGCATTTCCAAAGCCCAGCAGTTTTGTGCACTGTTCACCCAGGCCTCTCTGCCTGTGGCTTGCAGGCTGATCAGCTTTCTGTGCAATCAGCTGCAACAAGGTACAGGAGGTGGGAGATGAAATCTGAAAACCATTCAAAGCTGTAAAGGCATGAATCGGGAAGAAGTAATCATTTACTAACTTCTTTATGCAAATCCCTGGAGTGGCTGGAGCTAGAGGACTCCTACAAAGACTGGAAGAGAGACAGAGAGAGTGCAGACGTGTGTGTGTACACACACACACAGAGATCTCTGTCCTCTCCTTTAGAAGGGATGGGGTTAGGCGCTGCCCAGGTGGTACTGAAAAAAGTTGGAAGACCTGAATTCAGTCAAGCACGCTTGGATATTATGCTACGGAGCCCTAATGGAACAGGAGGGGGTCATTGGCCATGCCTTGTTTTCTTCCTTTCTGCTAGCCACAATTTGGAGCTGTTGCCAAATCCCAGATTGCCAGACCCTCTCTGATGCCTGGGAGCTGCTGGAGGCACTGCACGTCTGGTGCCTTCATTTCCTGCCTGATCAACCTGGACAAGAGTGAGCCTCCATGGGCACGAGGTGGCTGAAAGCAGCTTCCTGGGGGGCTGAGACTTGTGGAACATGGGGAGGTTTGGGGAGCTTTGGTGTCACAGAGCTTTGCACTGATTGCTCCTCAAAGCTGCACAGGTCGGGTCAAAGGTGTGCCCTGGGTGTATGCTTCACCCAATTGTGCAAAGCAGTTTGGTGCACGCTTCAGCCGAGCCAGGGCACATTTTAAATGGGGGCAGTGACCGTGGCCTGCCTTGCTCATTCAGCATAATGATACCGGAGTTGCTGTGATAACTGTAAGTTGGACTGAAATTTATCTGTGTGATCCTTCCATTCCAGTGCGAGTTACGTTTCTGTAGCACCAGCGCTGCTTTCTCCCTGTACTAATGGCTGAGACCATCACCTGTTAGATCACTGCTGCAGTTACCCTGGCTGAAAGTTCTTCTCGCCCATCCTCACCAGCCTGCTACGCTCAGACTTTGGCAGTCTCCTTGGCCCAGAGATTACGGTCTTAGCAAAAAAGATTCAAAGAGAAGAGACAAAGCAGACACCAAAAATTTTTTACTTACCCCTGAACCAGTTGCTGCTTGTCGTGCTCTCCTCTGCTGCAGTAACTCCTTAACTGTAATCTTTACTCTAACACCTTGATACACCTTGGGCTTTCCTGAAAGAATTTGGGGGAAAACACTTTACAAGATGGGAGACCTTCAGAGCATACAGCGAATCCAGAAGGTTTTCAGGCATGCTCTACACGAAGTTTACTGGGGTAAACAGATGATTAATTGGTCACTGTTAAGTCACTTGTAATCACAGTTTATAGCCCTCCTTAACACCTGCTACACAAGCTTGTGACAAGCAGACATTTATGAAAAAGTTGGCCTTGATTATATTTAGCAATCATGCGTGTTTGTTTTTTTACTATCTCCTTCTCCCCCCTCTCCCCAGGTGTCCTAATACCAAGCTCCATCTGGTGCTACTGTTGAATTTATTTAAATTCCTATGATATTTGCCACTCTTAGGACCTGAAAATAAATGTGGGAAGCACTTCACCTTGCAGATGAAGACCAGGAATAAAACAATGGAAATATGTGGGCAGTTATTGAGGGCTAAACAAAACACAAATAAAATGACTGCTTTCATGAATCACTTCTTGCCTAGATTATTTCTTTATTTTGCTCATTCTGTACAACTCCCATTTATTTCAAACAAACATTTAGGATGTCTTTAATCCAGCCAAAACCAATCAGCAATCATCCGTCACTACCCGATGAGGGATTTTTACTACAGGAAATGGTAAAGTATTTACCTATTCTGAAAAATCACTTTCACTTGCTGTACTTATAGCTAAAATACTTTAAGCCTCTGGCAGTTCTGTTTCTGACCTAACTTTCTGTGATTATTTTCATCCTACAAAGACAAGTGTGGTCTCATTCTGCAGCCAGCTGTTCCCCAGTAGAGGCAGCTGGTTCCAGGTTTCCTGTCCTATTGCTGCTGCATGCAGCAAGAAGACAGCGCTGGATTTGCGGGTTCTGCCCCCAAGCAATCCCGCACTGTAGGCCCTGTCCTCTTCTGCTATAACCTGTCTCTTGCTGATGGCTGTACAGCATCTTCAGCCTCCTGTCTGCCCAACCCCAGCCCTCCTGCTGCCCCCTTGGTGCTCTGGTTGAGAACGCGCTGTATTAGGCGTATGGGTCCCTCCAAAAAGATGGCAGGCGGAGCTGGGTCTGCCTCGAGGGGTTTGCTGTGCTGTGCTCTCAGCATCTGGGGATTATTCATCTTGTATTTTTACGTTTTGTTCCTATTCGACAAACTGAAGATGAGGAAAATGAGGGGAGGGAAGGGTTGAATTTGACGACACAGCAAGGGCCCTGAGCTGGCAGCCCCTTCTGCCAGTTTGGTTCAGCTGCGTACAGTCTCTCAGCTCTGGTCTGCACAGGCAGCTGGACAGGGCTAGGGGCTATACTATGAGCAACTTAAACACAACCTAGCAGGTGGACATATCTATAACCCAGGGGCTGGCTGTCAGGCAGCCCCGGCTCCCCTGGCAGGGCATTGTGCCCCAAGGATCCTGTTTTTCGAGCACCCCGAGGTGCCAGCGTGGTCTGCCTGCAGCTGAAGCATGGCGAGCAGGGCCGCAGCGGCCAGCTGTGCTGAACTGGCCGGGCTGCGGGTGGAAGAGGCAGGGTGATGCAGCTGGGGCCGGGGGTGAGGAGCAGGGTGGCAAGGACGGGCTGGGGCTCAGGGTGACACGGGCCGGCTGGGCATCAGCAGCAGGGTGACAGGGGCGGGCTGGGGGTCAGGGTGGGCTCGGGGTCGGGGAGCAGGGCGGGCAGGGCAGCCGGAAAGCAGCGTGGGGAGG